ATGAGAAGCATCCATGCCAGTGCCATGCGGAATCTCATTGTGGTTTTAATTTGCAATTTCTTAATGACTAATGATGTTTAGCATCTTTTCATGCACTGATTGGCCATTTCTATATCTTCTCTGCAGAAATATCTTCTCAGACCATTTGCCCATTTTTTAATTGTGTCATCTGTCCTTTTATTATGGGTGGTGAGCTCTTTATATATTCTGCATGCAAGTCCCTTATCAGATACCTGACTTGTAAATATTTTCTCTCACTGTGTGGCTTTTCACTTTCTTGATGACATCCTTTGAAGCAGAAAAGTTTTTAGTTTTAATGATTCTCAATTTATCTATTTTTCTTTTGTTGCTTGTGCTTTTGTTGTCATATCTTTTGCTGTTGTTGTTAATTTAAAAATAGAGATGGGGTCTCACTATGTTGCCCAGGCTATCTTGAACTATTGGGCTCAAGTGATCCTCCTGCCTCAGCCTCCTAAAATGCTGAGATTACAGGTATGAACCACCACACCTGGACTAGTGTCATATCTAAGAAGGCTTTGCTTAGTCCAAGATCATGAAGATTCACTCTTATTCTCTCTCCTAAGACTTTTGTAATTTTAACTCTTCTATTTATGTATGTTATCCATTTAGAGTTGATTTATGTGTATGGTGTATAAAAGGGGTCCAGCTTTATTCATTTGCACATGGATATCCAGTTGTCTCAGAAGCATTTGTTGAAAAACTATTCTTTCTCCATTGAATTATCTTGGAACCCTTGCCAAAAATTAATTGACTATAAGTGCAAGGGTTTATTTTATACTCTCAGTTCTATTCCATTAATCTATATGTCTCTCCTTATACCAGTACTGCACTGCCTTGATTACTATAGCTTTGAAGTAAGTTTTGAAATTGGGAAGTGTGGGTTCTTCAACTTTGGCCTTTTTTTAAAGATGATTTTGTCTATTCTGGGTCTCTTGCATTTCATATGAATTTTAGGATCACTGTGTGAATGTATTCAAAAAAGCAAGTTGGAATTTTGAAAGGGGAACAACTTGAATCTGTAGGAACCAATTTGGGAAATGTTGCTATCTTAAAATATTAAATCTTCAAATCCATGAACATGGGATGTCTTTCCGTTTACTTAGATAGATTCAAATTTCTTTCAACAATGTTTTGTAGTTTTCAGAATATAGGTTTCACACTTATTTTGTTAAATTTATTACTAAATATTTTATTATTTTTGATGCTATTATGAGTGGAATTTTTTTCTAAATTTCATTTTTAGATTGTTCATTGCCAGTATACGGAAATATAATTAAAAACTGTATATTGATTTGTAAACTGTAATCTTGCTGAGCTCATTGATTAATGCTAATAGTTTTAGTGGATTCTTAGAACTTGCTATATACAGAATCATGTCATCTGCAAATAGAGATCACTTTACTTCTTCCTTTCCAATCTTGGTCTCTTTTATTTCTTTTTCTTACCTAACTGCTTTGGCTAAAACCTCCAATATAATATTAAATGGAAGTGGTAAGAGTGGACATCCTCATCTTGTCCCTGATCTTGGAGTGGATGCATTCATTTTTGTACCATAAAAATTGTGGTTAGCTGTGGGTTTTTTTTTATATATATGCCCTTTGTCAGGTTGAGGAAATTTCATTCCATTTCTAGTTTGTTGATTGGCTTTATCATGAAAGGATATTTGCCTTCTCTTTGGTCCCACAACAAACTTCAATGAGAATCTCCATTTTCAAAGACAAGCAAACTGAGGGTCTGAACGTTCAGTGACTTGCCTAAGACCACACAGCAAGGAAGAAGTGGAGCAAGACCCAACCCAGGTCTGTAGACTCCAAACTTCACACCCCACAATCTTCCCAGCTCTCTGCTCCCATTGCTATGTCAGGATTTCCTACTAGAACCGGATGTTCCCACCATGGGCAGCTCGGTGGGGGGCGGGGTCCTGAAAGAAATCCCCTGAGAATATACCTCCGTGGAAACAGAGAAGATCCATGAGGGGCTAAAATAAATGGCTCTCACACTTCTATTTCTGCTACATGGACAAGGCTAAACAGAAGATGTTTAAGCAGCGATTAATTTAGCCCATGCTGCCCAGGCAGGTCAAAGCTGAGGTTTAAGGAAAAGTCATAGAAATGACATGAGGAAGACAGGATACTTCCATGGCCAGAAGTCTAACAGCTGAAATTCACACACAGAAGAGATGTGTTTCCTCCAAATCCCTAGGCTCTGTGATAAAGATTAGCTAAGGATTAATGAGCAAGGTATTAAATGGCACCATATTGGCTTGTCGCTTTTAGAAGTGACCCATAAAATATCAAAATCAATGGCAAGTAAGTTTATATGTTTAGTTAAGGGATTTATTTTGGGCATAAAACCTAAGACAGGTGCACTTAGCTCTTAATCACAGGCACTTCAGACTGAGGCTTGACAATTAGATGGTAGAGCTGTGGCATGTTACCGCCACCTGATGGCAGCATACCTTTCGTGAACCACAGAACTTGAAAGCTGGGAAAAATCCTATTAGGTCAACCAAATTAAATGGTTCTCAACCCTGGAAACGTGAATCCCAGACCCCACTCACAGAGATTCTGATTTAATTGGTCAGGGTGGGGCCCATATATCAGTAGAGTTTTAAAAGGTCCCAGGTGATTTTAATGTGCACTCAGGGTAAGACTCACACTCCAATCTGACTTATTAAAAATATCCTTTCAACAATAGAAAAACAACAGTGAGTCATGTTAGCGACGGCTCATACAATGGCACTCCTTCGGGGGACTGCATTAATGGGGCAGAAGAGCTCAGTGGTCAGGGGTCTGAGCTCTGGAATCAGCAGAGCTGGGTGCAAATGCTGGCTCTGTCATCTCCTGACATATGAGTCCCATCTTTCTGTGCCTTTATTTCCTTGTTGGTGAAATAGGCACAGCACCTGTAGGGGTCTTGTGAAGACTCGACATGGGCAAAGAGCTTAGATGCAGTGCCTGGAAAAGGGTGGGTGCCTAGGGCTGGGTGCGGTGGCTCACATCTGTAATCCCAGCACTTTGGGAAGCCAAGATGGGCAGGTCATCTGAGGTCAGGAATTCAAGACCAGCCTGGCCAACGTGGTGAAACCCCATCTCTACTAAAAAGGCAAAACTTAGCCAGGCATGGTGGCGGCTATAATCCCATTTACTCAGAAGGTTGAGGCAGGAGAATCACTGGAACCCTGGAGGCAGAGGTTGCAGTGAGCCAAGATTGTGCCACTGCACTCAGCCTGGGCGACAGAGGGAGACTCTGTCTCAAAAAGAAAAAAAGAGTAGGTACTTAAGAGATGGCTTTTGTCATCACCACTCTCACCTACATGGGGGTCAGAGAAAACATGAGACACAGTCCTCTGCAGCCTAACTGTGGGAGACAGGAGTGACACACAGGTACCAACAGAGATGAGCACATGGCCGAGGGTCATGGCCGAGCTCCCCGCTGGGAGCAGCCTGGCTCCATCACTTACTTCATGTGTAACATCAACATGAACCTTTGATGCCTCAGTTTCCCTACCTATAAAACATGAAGATCACCAATGTTGGTGTTCCTATAATGCATATTAAAGGGAAGTTGGTAAGGGCTTATTGTCAGCCACCAGGAGGTATGGCTGGGACAGCTCAGGAGACAGGAGTCCAGGATGCCTGCGGCAGCTGCAGGAATGCTCTGGACAACTTGGTGGGCCCCTGCTGGGTCACGGCCCTGTGCCTTCCATTGTCTCCTCCATGCCCGTCGACGTTGCCTGAAAACAGCCTCATTTTTGCCTCTTGAAGATGCCCTTTCTCCCGCTACCCCCTCCCCATCTGATTCCCTTTGAGTTGCTAAGATAGCCAAGGTGAATGGAGCTGGCATCTCCTGCCCCAGGAAGGAGATGCCTTAAATGCCCCTTGTATTCCCAGAGGAGAGTGATGTCTTCCTGCTTCAGGGAGGGGACAGCAGAGGGAATTCATGCAGAAGGAAAGGGGAGCCAGCAGATTCCAAGGGGAGAAGATGTTTGGGGATCCACAGCACCCTGAAAGATGTTTTTCTTGAAGGCTAAACGTCAAGGGAAAGCTGGACTTTGGGGTCAGAGGTTATTAGCGCAGCCAAAATTTTGCACCCAGTGAGGGTCCCATGGCGCCCATGGGGCCAGAAAACCACCAGCCATGGGGAGGGGAAGGGTAGGGAAAGATCAGAGTGTTCTGTCAAATGATCTGAAAACTTCATACAACCCAGGGCTAACAGGAAATCTCAAAAACTGGAGATGAAATTTCTGGCAATCCCTGGGAGTAGAAGCCCAGAGTTCTATCCTAGCGGGTCTAGAGGAATACATTAATAGGGGATTCCTTGGCTAGAAGAAGCGAGAGAGCATGTTCATACCCACCACAGCCTAAAGGGAAGTCTCCTTTGTGATTCCCCTCACCACTGCGCACCATAGGGCACACAGACAGAACTGAAATCCCAGCCTCAACTCAAGGTCACCAACTCAAGCTATCTCGATGACCAGCAATGACTGAGGCGTGCCTTTGGGGACTGGGTGACCGGGAGAGGGTGTGTCCTGTCTAGATGGGGATGAACTGACATGGTAGCCATCTGGGCAGTCAGGGTCCCTGCAGGAAACTGATGGCACCTCCAAGGGGCTCATTGAAGACCGAGGAGTGAAAAAATTATTTGTAGAGATGTGGACAGGCTTGAGGGGCTGGTAACCATGGGAAACCCAGATCTGATAGGGCAGGGGAGGGGAAGGAGCCTGGAAGAGGTGAAGCCATAGAGGAGGAGCTGCTGCCAGGAGCTGAAGTCGAACCTAGCAAGCCTCAGCATCAGAACTTAAGCATCTCTGGGTGGGGACTTCAGAACCGGTATTTCTAACGAGTTCCCAGGAGATGCTGATGCTGCCGGTCTGGGAACCACACTTTGAGAGCCGCTCCTTAGAGAAATGTAGTCAATGTCAAAACCTCAACAGGGAGAGAACAAGATGAGAGAGAAGGGAATGCCCTAATCTTTCTCTCCTTCTGCCCTCTTGATTCCCTGTAGATTCCTCCTGTTGACCAAAACCAATAGGCACAGAGTCCAGGCAGTTCCTAGGGCACAGAGAAGGATAGGGAATGGACGTGGATGGGTGGATGGAGAAGAGTTGGCACGCTGCCCTACCTAAGGTGGTCCTCACCCCCTCCTCACCCCATCACGCTCATGCCTGCACCTGTGTTGCTTTTCTTCCATTGTGAGACCACCATCATGCTCTGAAATTGTCCTGGGTATGTATCTGTTGACTTGTTTAGTTCCTGTGTCCTCTACAGGATGTGCAAGGAACCTTTCCTCTACTTTGGGATCTATTTACAGTAGTTCTGTGAGCACTGTGGACTTAAGCACAGTTTAGACCAGGTTGGAGGTTGCATGCCCTAAATCCGTTTTTTGTTTTTTTTTTTTTTTGAGATGGAGCCGTGCTCTGTCACCCAGGCTGGAGTGCAGTGGTGCAATCTCGGCTCACTGCAACCTCCGCCTCCCAGGTTCAAGTGATCCTCCTGCCTCAGCCTCCTGAGTAGCTGGGACTACAGGTACCTACCACCTCACCTGGCTGATTTTTGTATTTTTAGTAGAGACAGGGTTTCGACATATTGGCCAGGCTGGTCTCAAACTCCTGACCTTGTGATCTGCCTGCCTTGGCCTCCCAAAGTGCTAGAATTACAGGTGTGAGCTACTGTGCCCAGCTGAGAATTCATATTCTATCTCTCCATCTTAGGAATCAAAATCACAACGTCAAGCAGTGATATCTGAAGGTGTCTGAATTAATCTCCATCTCTAAAAGTATGCACTTTTCTTAAGTTACCAATGTCAATGTTTTATATTCACACAGTTGTATCCTGTCAACATTTATTAAGCACCTACTATGTGCCAGTCCTGCTTTTAGGTGCTGGAGATACAACAGCAAACCACACAGACAAAATCCCTGCCCTCACAGAGCTTCTGTTCTCGTGTTAAAGTGTATATATCAGTAATTCTCTTGCCAAAAAAATGACGTTCCCTGGCTCTTCTAAATAATGCCCAGTCAGGCAGGGCGCGGTGGCTCATGCCTATAATCTCAGCACTTTGGGAGGCTGAGGTGGACAGATCACCAGAGGTCAGGAGTTCGAGACCGGCCTGGCCAAGATGATGAAACTCTGTCTCTACTAAAAATACAAAAATTAGCCAGGCACGATGGCACACACTTGTAATCCTGGCTACTCAGGAAGCTGAGGCAGGAGAATCGCTTGAACCCTGAAGGCAGAGGCTACAGTGAGCCAAGATCATGCCATCCCACTCCAGCCTGGGCGATAAGAGCGAAACTCCATCTCAAAAATAATAGTAATAATACTGCCCAGACAATATCTCTGCAACACGGAGGCCACATATTTTCAGCAACAACTAGAAGCTTCGTGACCATGTATGTCTGGTTTGCTATTGCAACCTCAAAGCCTGGAGCAGTGATCGGTGCTGCTGACATGATCGTGGAATGAGGCAATGAATAGCACTTCATAAATCATCTTTCTCAAGCATCCCGCCAGAGTGTGGTGCTACCCTGCAGAATCCAGAAGATGTGGCCACAGTGAGACAGAAATTGAATCTTGGGAGCCATCTAAGACAGAAGAGACAGAAAGGGACGTCTACACCAGCGGAGAAAGAGCTGGAGGCTTCAACAGCAGCCATGGGGCAGCCACATGGAGCCTCACACCTGCCACAAAGCAGCGAACTTGGAGATCAGGAGGTCACCTCAGCCGTCACATCTGCACTTGGCCTTTTCCCACCACTGGGTCTCTGTTCTTGCTTCTCTCTTAATCTCTCTCTCCATTTTTCTAAGTCTCAACCATTCCCCTCCTTCGAGATCCAGCTTGAAATGTCCACCCCCCTCTCCCGCCACGAAGCCTCCCTTGTTCACCAACCACTTGCTCTATCCGGAAGAAACGTTTGCCCCACTGTAAATTTCCCAAGTGTTTGATTGCAATATCACTCATTATATTGTTCTGTGCTACCCTGAGCACCGCTTGGCCCCTCTGCTAAGCCAACCTTGGGAAGCAGATCCCACCCCAGGCTTGAGTTCGTCACGTTGCCTTAGAACCAGGATCCTACAACCCGGAAGAGAGTTCAGGACAAGCCCCATGCAAAGGACTTGGCGTCCATCACAGCAATGGCATGAGGTCTGAATCCATTCCCATTTTACAGATGAGAAAACTAAGGCTCACAGAGGTGGAGTGACCTGCCCAAGGCTATACGGCAACTATGGGGCAGAATCAGGATCCGGCCTCAGGTCTTTGTTTTTCCAAGGCTGTTATCATGCAGGGGACTGACTTGGTCAGAAATGGAACAAGGACAGGACAAGTGTGGTGACTCATGCCTGAAATCCCAGCACTTTGGGAGGCCAAAATGGGCAGATCACTTAAGGTCAGGAGTTCGAGATCAACATGGTCAAATCCCATCTCTACTAAAAATACAAAAAAATAGCTGGGCATGGCAGCGTGCACCTGCAGTCCCAGCTACTCAGGAGGCTGAGGCATGAGAATCGCTGGGATCTGGGAGGTGGCAGTTGCAGTGAGCCAAGATCGCACCACTGCACTCCAGGTTGGGCAACAGAGTGAGACCCTGCCTCAAAAAAAAACAAAGAAGGGACAAGGACACATTACAGAAGTCATTCCATGGCCAGAACAGGTATCTCCAAAATATCTTTTTCTAAACATTTTATTTTATTTATTATGGGAAATGTTCATCTTTTACAAAAGTAGAGAGACTAGGACAAAAAGCCCCATGTCACCAACGCAGCTTCAATATCTGTCAACTCAAGGCCAGTCTTGTCACCTCTACACCCCACTGTCCCTACCACCATGAGGTTATTTTGAAACAAATCTCAGAATTAGACCTAAAATATGTTTTTCAGGGGTGTGTTCACCTGTTCAGAAAAGACAAATGGAAGGTCATTTCTTCCCAGAACCTGTGGCCTCACCTTATAAGGCAGCTGGCTTTTTGCAGCATGAGAAGCAAACAGAAAATCCAGGAGCCCTGACTTCCCCTCACTGCTAACCCCTCTGAGTCACTGTCTCCGGGGGCTCTGGCTGAGCTGAGGTTGGAGGGAGGCATCACTCAGATATTGCCCTCAGTGCAGTGGCTTGAGCTTGTCAGCAGGCACATCGAGACTGTCATGAAACAGAAAGCCTGGCACAGGCCCTCAGCAGAAATGAGGCTTCCAGGAATTCACCGCAGAGAGAACTGGTTGGGTCACAGCTGCCTCACTCTGGCTCACCACTCGGGCCTGATTCCAGGAATTCTACCCCAAGTCTCCTCCTCTAGGTCTGCTCTAATTGAGAAAGAAGCTCCCGTGTGAAAGCAAAGGAGAGGTGCGGGGTGCACCAGAGTCACCAGGAAGCCAGGCAGGGGGTGCTCCCCAGCAAAAAGCTGGGCTCTGGCTTCACACAGATCCAAATTCAAATCCCCACTGTGCTGCCTGGGCGCGATGGCTCATGCCTGTAATCCCAGCATCGTGGGAGGCCAAGGCAGGTGGATCATGAGGTCAGGAGTTCGAGACCAGCCTGGCCAACACAGCGAAACCCCATCTCTACTAAAAATACAAAAATTAGCCGGGCGTGGTGGCATGCACCTGTAAACCCAGCTACTTGGGAGGCTGAGGCAGGAGAATTGCTTGAACCCAGGAGGCAGAGGCAGAGGCTGCAGTGAGCCAAATGGTGCCACTGCATTCCGGACTGGGTGACAGAGTGAGACTCTGTCGCAATAAATAAATAAATAAATAAATAAATAAATAAATAAATAAAATTCCCACTGTGCCACCTGCTAGCTGTGGGACTGGGAGTAAATATTTTTTTTTTAATTTATTTGATTGGGTTCTTTTTTGTTGTTGTTTGCTATTGAGATTGACTATTCCAGCCTCCTGGGGTTGCCAGGAAGGCTAAATAAGGTCATTGGTATAAAACAAGATGTCTTCAGTTAGGATTTAATTCAGGCAACATCTGGAAAGGGATCGGCTCGATGTTTTGACACTCACACCCTCAACATCACTCATCACAGGTCTGGAGGCTCCAGCACACGGAGGTGTCTAGGTTCAAAAGCCACAGGACGTGAGTTCAAATCCATCCTCTGCCTCTCATAGCCAAGTGATCTCAGGTGAGTGGCTTCACCTCTCTAAGCCTTTTCTTTGCTTGCCAGATGGAAATCAGAGCACCTTCCTTCTACGCTTGCAGAAAGGATTCAAACAAGCCAGGCATGGTAGCTCATGCTGGTAGTTTCAACTACTAAGGAGGCTGAGGCAGGAGACTCATTTGAGTCCAGACTAGACAACATAGCAAGACTCCATTTTTTAAAAAGAAAGTCTAGATGCGGTGGCTCATGCCTGTAATCCCAGCACTTTGAGAGGCTGACATGGGTGGATCAACTGAGGTCAGGAGTTCAAGACCAGCCTGGCCAACATGGTGAAACCCAGTTTCTACTAAAAACACAAAAATTAGCCAGGCGTGATGGCAAGTGCCTATATTCCCAGCTATTCAGGAGGCTGAGGCAAGAGAATCACTTGAACCTGGGAGGTGGAGGTTGCAGTGAGCCACCAAGATCATCCCATTGCACTCCAGCCTGGGCGACAGAGTGAGACTCTGTCTCAAAAAAAAAAGAGAGAGAGAGAGAGAGAAAGAGAATTGAAAAGGAAGAGAGTGTGTGAAAATGTCTGCCCTGTGCTTGGCTCCATACATAAGTACTTTTAAAAAATTCCTTCCCTGGATCCTAAGTTAGAGACACATGCCACTCCTCCCAAGGAGAGCCCGGGCGTCTTCCCAAGCCAGAAGCAGGAGGCTGTAATTCTGCAACTTCAGCCTGAGCAGGTCAGGGGAACCTGGCAGGGCCACAGGCAAAATCAAGGGGGGTGGCCAGAGGCAGATGCCCAATGCTGGCAGAAGGTGTGCAGAGCATTGAGAGTCTGCCAAGTTACCCTTGGCATGGACACTGGGCGCCCAGGTCTTGTTTGGCAGCAGAGATGTGGGCAGTGAGATGGGAGGAGGGGGTCACAGAGGAGCCCAGCATCCTTGGCTGAATCCCCGGATGCTGGGTCTGAGGATCGTGACTTAATTCCATAACCTGCCAGATGGTATTGCTGAGGCTTCCGCAGAGTCAGGAGGTGGGGAGAGGTGGGGAAGGCAGGGTCAACAGAGAGAGGCAGTAGCACCAGTTTCACAAAGTCAGCCAACCACTAACACGTGCTGACACGCATCACGCACACACCAGCGTGTGTTCTAAGTGCTGTACGTGCATCAGTTGCGAATCTGCACGACAGCCTATGAGGCAGCTCCTACGACGGTGCCCATTTTACAGATGAAGAAACTGAGGCTGGCTGGGCACGGTGGCTCACACCTGTAATCCCAGCACTTTGGGAGGCTGAGGCAAGCGGATCACTTGAGTTCAGGAGTTCAAGACCAGCCTGGCCAACACGGTGAAACACTATCTCTACTAAAAATGCAAAATTAGCCAGGCACGATGGCACGGGCCTGTAATTCCAGTTACTTGGGAGGCTGAGGCAGAAGAACCACTTGAACCTGGGAGTCGGAGGTAGCAGTGAGCCGAGATCAGGCCACTGCACTCCAGCATAGGCAATAG